GGCAATTGGACTTGCAAGTAGGTTACTCTTGTATGATCCGAAGGAACCATCCCTCAAGCAGTACACCAACTTAATATGTATGGTGTACCATCACTTGACTAGGAAGTAAGAGCAGAGCATCATGAAATATGTGTGTAATTGGAACCAGCTCATTTTAGCCAAGTTTCCAGCTCCCTTTCGAGAACAACATATCATCCAGGCCACGGGTGTTTAAGCAAGACATTTTAGCATGTGATCAGTACACTGCATACTCTCTGACGAGCAATTCCATACGAGTGAAAATGATGCTTTCATGGTGTGAAGTTCCTGAATGGGTAGTAAAAAACATACAAATCCTCTTAGTAAAAGAAGTTACTAACAAGAATGACACGAACATCCAAACTTGGAGGTCGACAAGTGTTGATTACATGTGTAAATGGAACGGCATGAGTTTATCATTTTCCCTTGGCAAAAAGTGATTATCTCTTCTACCATGGTATAATCAAGACCACTATTGCAAGTATACCTATTTACGCAAGGCCACACATAACTATAAGTTAAAGAGTTATACAACTCGTGCCAGTAATATCATCTATACATTAGATGAACTCCTTATGAAGCTAAGCCCAAGTCCAGGTAGCTTCCACCTCATGCTTCCTTCACTCGAGGGCAACGCCTTGTGGTTCTCCTGGAATGCAAGTAGAGCCAATTAAAATCATCATCCAAGGCAGCAAAACCAACTTGATTTGTGTAAACAGAACGCATAGATAAAAGGGGTCATTGTTTGCAATGTTAGGAATCTGAAACCAAACCTTGCTTTTGTCCTCGCTAGGCTCGGCTACTGATGCGACCGGTTGAAGAGATACAAGAGGAGACTGGGGCAACTGCAGGAAAGTAGCATGCAGCAAGAAACACATAAATTAGATTCCCAGTAGCAAAGGCTGGAAAGGCAGAGCCTTTATTTCACCTAAAAAACTTTTAATACGAAAACAAAAGTTAGTTTAATTTACCATTTTAATCCTTTTCTCTGAAGAGGATCCTAGAGCTGGAAGGAACAATGAGACCTGAAAATTGAAAATATCTCTTCAGAGCTCTAGAAGCAACGATAGTTGATGCAGAACCAATAGCCTAATCATGTAACCAACATGCCACTAAGGAATTGCATAAGCTGGGCCGCCGACTTGCCTGACGAATATTGGGATTCTGGCCACCATGTTCCAGTTGTTGGCTGAACCCAACTAAGGCTTCAGTTGCACGCACTGTACGATCCTGATACCGGTTTGAAAGTAGATAATGTCAGGAACATTTAACGAAAAAACGGTGTGGGTGTGGGTTAGAGGAAGGGGAAGGGTGTATATGATGGACATGTGCTTACCTGGGTGTCCTCGATACCAGACAGCCTTGACCCCTGCATATTCAAGATAAATAAGTGCACCCGTAAGTGATATGTAGCTCCAATAAGCAAGGTATATACAAGTTTCAGTACAAGGCACCGACCCATATTTCAACCATACGGCTGACTTCTTGGAGCTCCTTCTGAAAGGCGCTCAGATCCACATGGATCACCGCAAACTACAAACACAGTAAATAAATTTAGTAAAAAATCAAATGAAATAAATAAAGAATAAAGCCAAAAAAATAAGTCAGAGACAGAAGAGCCCAGATTTCAAATGAAGAAATGGAAACTCGAAAAGGATCATTCCGATTCTCAAAGAATGAGGGCCAAGGGGATTGATACCGAGAAAGATTTCTTCTTATGATAAGAGGTGGTTTGATCTGCATTTGTTTGGTAAAAGAACAATCTTCTGCTTTAGTAATCATATAATAAATGGAAAGTGTTCAATTAGAACATGAAAACGTGACTCGGTTGGTCTTAGTTAGTCTTTGGGCCGGAGTGGAAGAAAGGCGGAGATTCTCGAATAAGGAAAAGGATTCCTTCGAAAGAATTGACCGAGGAGCCGTATGAGGTGAAACTCATATGTACGGTTCTGTAGAGGTATCGTTGTTTCGTTTCACCATCCAAAAGTACCAGAAAAGGAAATATTTATGCAGCAGGAATGTTCCAACCTCATCCCTTGTCCCTTCGATAATTTCTTGTGTTTCGTCTAGATTAGCATCGACCCGGTCGATCCTAACAGCTAGATGTTTCTTCGTAACCTGAAATGGACACATATTTGTTCTTCATGTAAGATGAAAAGGTCGAGATGGATGTACAGCATCGTTCAGACAGTCGATAATGTGCAACATCAGTAAAAAAAAAAGACCTTACCTGCACTGTATTTGAAACATCATCTAACTGTTTGCCCACGACATCGCAGGCATCAGCCAGACCGCGCTTCGTCACCCACATCATGTCAGAAATCTTCCAACCCTGTAAATTATTGCGCGAACTTTAGATACTAGCAGGTGAATTAGCAACTCTGGATATGACTTCAAAAAGCAGAATGGCCTGCAACTAGAATTACAGCCTCAGTGTTGTGTAATCTTGGATCGCCTAAAATAAAAGAATGAGAGTTTACCTTCCACCTGACGTATGCATAGCCGATAAGCCCAGCAACAACAATTGCTGTTATGGTATACGAACCAGACCCTACAAAAATAGAAGGTAAGATATAATAATAATTCACATATTAAATACGTAGAATCTAGTATAAGAGTTCGCATATTCAGATAAGAACTGTACAAACTAGAGGGCCAAAACCATATAACTGTGTACGTCTAAAGGGCATGATGAAACGATAGATCAAATCCAACATAATTAAGACATTTGTATAATCAATTTGGTTGAGCATCGAGACAAGAAAACAAGCGAGCACCGACCTGATGTATCGGAGATAACCGTGACATTCTCATTTCTATGGCGTGCGGCTCGCTGTATCTCCTCCCTGATACTGTCGAGCTGAAAATGTTTAGCAGAGTCAAGCACCGCCATTTTAGATCTAGAGTCTGTCAAACCAATCTGGCCGACACGAAAAACAAACACATCCACAATAAACAAACCTGAGACGCCAACTGGTCGCTACCGTCGTGTTTCCCGGCCTTCCCGGTGTTCTTCACAAACTAGAGGAGACAAACAAAGATACAAAAGGTGTCACAGCCATGGCTCGACGTGTGTACAATCGAATCAACCCGACCGAGAATAAAGGCACGGGGCAAGGTAAGTGATGGAAGTAGCTAATTACATTGGCAAGCGTGTCCCCGATGATAGGGACTTTCTTGGCGTCGCCTCCGGTAAGAATAGTGCTGAGATATCCTGCCAAAAGAGAAGAAAGAAAGTTTTTGCAATCCGTTAGTATGCTTTGCAGAAGAATTTGCGGCGTTCCCCTAAATAAAGGCTAATTGCAGATTGCTCAAGAACAGAGGCTGCAATTCTCAATCAGAGGGGGGGAAAAGGCTGCAAGGCTTTGCTTGAAGCAAGTAAGAAGACAGAATTACAGATATACAGGTATGGGTGCGACTTGTGAGAGAGCAGTTGGATTGTATTGGATTGGATTATTTGTAGCCAACAAAGTAAACTACACTAGGAACCAAAGTGATCCGTTAATCCGTATGTGTCTACCCAGCGAGTAGGCAAGCTACAAACCCTAAGCAAGAAGCTAGATACAAGCTAAACCCCGGCATCAGCAGCACATCGGATAGATTCAGAAGGACGCGACAGTCGCCGGCGACGGCGAGAGCACCATAGATTCCTCCATGGTAGATAGATGTGGACCAAAGCTGAGGGGTGAGGAGCACGGGAACTCACCGGAGCCGAGCACGACGGCGATGTTGCCGAGCGCCATGGCGCCCAAGCGAAGCCGGGCAACGGAAGCCGGAGCGAGCGAGCACCGGAGCTAGCACGCGGCCCTCGACGGCGACGGCGAGATCGGGCGCGCACGTACGGCCGGCGGTGGGCGATTCCGCTCCCTGCTGGTTTATTGTTCTCTCGCCGTACGTAGTACGTGTCTGTATCGTCTGGCGGCGGTTAAAACCGACGAACGAATAAACGGAGGCAGAATCTTGTTGGATTTAGTTTCCTTCATTCAATCACACGAGACTCCTTCCTTCCTTTTTCCGGAAACACCCTCGGGAGGGCCATCCGCCCGGGATTTTCCCTGGCCGTTGGGTTTTAGACGGACGGGCGTGATCCGATGGGCAAAGCGGTAAATTTGTATGCCCTTAACTTTTTCTTTTGGGCAAACGTATGCCCTAAGCTAGAACACGCAGCTCCGCTTGGTTCTCGTGAGATGATATCAGGTGGGTGGCCATTTGGCAAATCGACTTTTGATTGATGAACCAAATTCTGTTCATTACCGGACCTACCTTCTTGGGGAACAAGGCAAGGATTCCCAACGAATGATCAGGCCGGGTCCAGTGTGCCGATGAATTCATTCATGTGCCGACCGATTCAATTATCATCCATTCAAAAGACCGGACTGATAGAGAGAGAGGGACAGGCAACATATTTCAACACAACAACAACAAACCAGAGGGCCCTACCTCCAAAAGGTACTACTACATCCGTTGCAAAACTAAAGGTCTGTCAAACATAGAAAAACCTGTTTTATGAGGGGCAAAAACAACACATCTTATATTTTGAAGCGGAGGCAGTATCATACTCTCTCCTTTCATCTATATAGGGCCTAATACGTTTACGAGGCTAGTTTTGACCAAGTGTTAGAGCAATAATATATGACATGCAAGTTAAACAAAGCATACCGTCAAATTCGTAAGTAAAAAAGAGCTTCCAATAATATAATTTTCACATTATACATCTCATGTATTATTAATCATATCAATAGTCAAAGGCGGTCTTGAAAAATGCATTAGGCCTTATATAAATGGAAGGAGGGAGTATCATAACTACTAGACACCGCGGCTACCATTCACAAACAAAAAGCATCATCAACTCCAAGCTCCATCCGTGCCATGAATGAAAATGCTCCATCAAACACAGCACCCATTATTATCAATACAAACCAAACCCATGGTCCCGGGCAGGTTGAGAGGCAGTAGTAGCTAGTTTCAAAGGGCGTGCTTGTTTATGATGATCCTGGGGTGGAGGAGCTTGTGGCGGCGGCCTCCTCCTTCTTCTTCAGGTCCTCAAACTTGTCGATGGTGACCTGCAGCTCGTCGGTGCTGCCCACCGCCCACATGGTGTAGTAGTACACCCCAAAGACGAACCCCGTCAGCCCGCCCGCCACCACCACGTTCTTCGTCTTGGGCGCCAGGCTGCCGAACCCTGCCATCGACAACGACGGCGGTTGCTGCTGCTGCAGGACAAAAATGTCTTGGGAAGATGTTACATGTAGTTACCAATCCAAGGTGCGAAATATGAAAAATGGTCGTCTGACAACTCAAAATACAGTCTCTACAGTTTAAAACTGGGCATTACGGGAAGATATAGAGATTTGTGTTATACTACAATCTGCCTCTCCTCTGGTGCTTATACAATCTGGCATTCAGTAGCTCTACGGCAATCGACAATTTCTGCCACAGCAAGAAGGAAAATAGGGCTTACTGGCGAGTAGCCTCCCCATCTGAACCAAATACTGCCTGTACATCACAAGACGGCCTACTGAGGCATCCTTCGGCCATACAAAGAAGTCTAGCAAGCACTAGAACATCGGACCTGAACAGTCACCTCTGTCTCTCTCACAAGGCCTGTCTACCTGGTGCTGGGACTTGCCGGGAAGTGACAATGATGCACTGATCCCAGAAAAAGAGGCAGAGGGAGATCCATTCAGGCCAAAGCCATTGGAAACAAGAAGACGCTGTTGCAAAACTATGTACATCGCTCTGCACATGTAACTTGAAAAGGAAAACCTATGTACATCCCTCTGCACAAGTGTTTGAAAGACACACAACGCAATTCATTTATCGTGGCAGTGCTTACTGGAATTCTGACACGGTGGACGTACCGAAATTATATTGTAGAGTACTATCCAAAGCTTACAAGATTTGGTGTATATATATAGTCATAATAGCACTACATGGATTTCTTCCATGGCTGCTAGCCTGTGCTCTGTGCTGAACAGGACCAGATCCTTGGGCTGAAATCTCATGGATTTATATTATTCACACCTGCCAAGCCTAGCACAGTCCCCCCCACCCCACCGGCAACGCTACGAAACTGAAACCTGGTAGATACGCGATTTCAGGATCATCAAATGTTCGGTTCAATTTACTTCGCCCTTCCCTGCTATGGACTGCAAGCTGCTACATGGCGACACAGGATGAGGATCATCAATTAACTATCCACTGCACTGGTTGCAGGCTGGATCATAAGACCAGGAATAAATCATCTCTCAACTGAAATCTTCATCCCCCCCTTCAAAAATCTACAAGCGACCAACCGTGGAGCTCGGCTACGGAAGACGGGCAGAGGGATTTCTATAGGGTCTCTACGCCATACACGGGATCGGGACTGGGGGTGCGGAAGGATCCACGGGCAAGGGCGGCCCCTGGTTCTGCCTTGAGCTCCCTTGCTCCTAGGACATCATATCGTCGTGCTGATGCAATAAGGGGTGAATCGGGGCGTTGCGGAGAGGGCGTACCTGACCGGCGGCCGGACGAATCGGAGCAGGAAGGTGGCGGCGGGGGTAGATGCGGCGGCGACGGCTGACGGCGACGGCAGGGCAGGGCAGGAGGAGAACGGGAGGAATGGATGAGCAGGGAAAGGGGAAAACCGGTCGGGCTTGGTTGGTGCGCTGGGCTGGGCTGGGCCTGTACTGTTGTGGTGGGCTTCGGTGGCAGCCCGCCGACTTCTTCCTCTTCTTTGGCCCACTGCTAAAGTAAGAGGAAATTTTCTTCAAATCACTTTGAGGGTGCCTCCTCTCTCTCCAAACAAAAAAAACTAGGTAATTTACCTGCTGCGGGAATATAAAAGTTAATTACAAATGACTTATATATGCAGAAAAAGATCTAAATCAAAAGCTACTAATTTTAACATATAAATATTTTGTACTTGCATTATGTGTAAATCAGGGCATTTCACAACCTTTAGGAAGTACATAAATTAAATAATTATCTAATCTACTGCATATGTCCAGTGACGAAAATAAGCATATTGGTATGGTTTGCATGGGCTGAAATAAAATGTTAATGTATGCTGAAGTGGGATGCTTGCATGTTGAGAGAATTTAGTGACAATGGAATAAGGTTTGCATAGGCTGAAAAATATTGTTAGTGGATGCTGATGTGGCACACTTGGTGAGGTGAAGGGCTTGCATGTTGAGAGAATTAGAAGTAGTGGGGATCAACTATTTAGGTATTATAGATAAGAGGATGCCTTTGCAAAAGTTACCACAAAAGCTTCTCCTGAATAAATGGCATTAGCCATGCGCACCACTTGTCTCCATCATAGGTTTCTGGTGAGATTTTTTTTTCTACGGGAGGGCCGTCCGCCCATACATGTTTAACCTTTTGCATTTGGTTTTTGGAAATGAAATATCTCGAGAATGTTTTTAGATTTAAAAATGCATACATACATCACGAAAATGTTTGTGGTTTAAAAATGGTAGATGAATTTTCAGAAAATGTTCCAAGACCTTGGAAATATTTTTAAATTTAAAAAATGTTCAAGATTTTTTGGAAAAATCATGAATTTAAGGAAAAATAAATAAAAATCTTTAAGAATTTCAAGAAACGTTCATAAATTCCGGAAGATGTTCTGGAATTTAAAACTGTACACAAATTTTTAAAAACATTCATGAATTTAAACAATCAGTTCATTTATCTATAAGATGTTTTGGAAATTTTTAAAATAACTCATGAATATTGAAAAATCATTTAAAAATGAAATTAAAGAAGGTTTATGAATTTTAAAACTCCATTTTTTGGAAAATAACTCACGAATTAATAAACAAAGAAAAGGAAAAAAAGGGGGGAAATAAATATGGAAGAGAAAACCAGTAAATACCACCAGGATTCCTAAGACATCATCTCGTCAGTTATTAGTGCAAAACTGGATTCATTCATTCCAGAGGCATTGCATCTACTAGGACATATGAATGGCAAGTTTAATCGTGATAACTTTCAACATGATGGATCTACACTAACAAAGGCACACAAGATCTGAATCAGCTTCAGATAGATACACTGAATAAACCATATATATGTATGTAGCTCAACCCATGCATGTTTCTAAAGACGGAACAGCAGGTACAGAAACTAGAAAGCAAATAGCAGCAGCAGCTATACAAATCATGTAAATTTTGCGCCCTCCAGGCAAAAAAACAAAACAGCCAAGTTAAACTCTGCCATAATTCTGCAAAACTGGACTGAACACGCACTGCTGCAAGGTAATATACTGACTGAACACCACCAGGATTCATTCAGTCCAGAGGCATTGTAGTATCCAGTATGAATGGCAAATCAATCAATCATGCTAACTTTCAATATAATGATGGATTTACACCGACAGAAATTACACTGATCTGAATCAGCTAATTCAGATAAACTGAATAAACTATATATATGCAGCTCGTCGCATGCATGCTTTTTATGACGGAACAGCAGCTACAGAAGCATGTCTAAATATACGCACAACATCATTTTGTTCCCTCCCAGCTTGCTAAACCAGACAAAGCAAATTATCAATCACAAGAAACATGCCTAAACAAGTTAATGTCAAAATGCCAGGAAGGAATGCAGTAAACTGGGCGCAAGCAGGTCCAAACATCACCTGTTATTATTAATACATAATAAAGTCAAAGTGCTGCAGCGGAAACTGCTCGCAAACAAAAAGGGAAAAAACGAGTCATAGTCCTTTGTGATCGATCCATAGCCACATCAAGATCCTGCTTGCTACCTTTCCCTTGGAGCAACAAGCCGCGTCCATGAAGATCATCAATCAATCACGGGACAGCTGAGCCTTTGGCTTCTTCGGCACGGTCCGATACCCAGCCTTGGTGGGCTTCCCCCAGGGCGACACCGAGGGCCTGCCGCCCTTGGTGCGCCCCTCGCCTCCTCCATGGGGATGGTCCACCGGGTTCATCGCGACACCACGGACGACCGGGCGCCTGCCCAGCCACCGGCTGTGCCCCGCCTTCCTCAGCTTCCGCGCGCCATGGGTGGGGTTGGAGACGATGCCGATGGTGGCCCGGCAGCGGGAGTCTATCAGCTTCTCGACGCCCGACGGCAGACGCACAAGGCACTGCGTGGCTGACTCCTTGACCACCTTGGCGTAGGCTCCAGCGGCTCGGACGAGCTTCGCCCCCTGGCCGTGACGCAGTTCGATGCTGTGCACCCATGTTCCCATACGGATGTCAGACAACGGCATGCAGTTTCCCACCTTGGAATTGAGGTCCAGTAGATCGGCTGGCATGAGCGGTGCTGCTGTAGGAACCGCCGCATCCTTCACTTGATCATCAGTGCCCTCTTCGCCTTGGCTGGCCTTGCGGAACAGCTCTTGGAACCGCAGGAAGGAATCAGCATTGTGGGCAGGTCGCATCAAGGAGCCGGTCGTGGAGGGTTTGGAGGAATCGCTATTCACCACCATGCTGCCCGGTTCCATTTGATGGCTGGCTATTATGTAATTGACAGGTGCACGCTCGGCCTTGTATGCTGGATCCTTCTGAGGTACCCCTTCAATCCATCGGAGAAGAGCGATCCGAGAAGAACGATTAGGGTCATACTCAATCCTTTCCACAATGCCAACAGAACAAGTGTTCCTTTTGAGGTCAATGTCCCTAAGAGATCGCTTGGATCCACCCCCTCGGTGAAAAGAAGTGATTCGCCCGGAAGAGTTCCTCCCGGCGGTGACGGTCTTGCCGGTCAAGGCCTTGGCCAAGGTCTTGAACTTCTGCATCTGCAGATAAAAATCACCATAAGCTTCAAGAAATAGACATAAAACAGCATGTAGTAGCAGCAAGTGGATAAGCTTCCATGCATCTAAAGGATGAACGAACTAACCATGAAGAATCAACAGAAAGTGACGACATACATTTCTATCGATCTTAAGACCACAGGTGACAAACACCTAGCTTTACTGATGAAAAAGAAACATCGAGATCAAGTCATTCCATCTGATCCAGAGCAAAAGATCAAGTCATTCCATCTGATCCAGAGCAAAAGATCAAGCAGCTTAGGTTTGAATCCAAACCAGACACAAGCTAGTACTAAATTTGTTTATGGCCCAAACCACTCAGACTGGCAGCAAAATTCATAAGAGAAGTTCCAAACTTTTGTTTTTCTTATTCAGCAACATTCAGATTGGCAGGAAGAGGAACACTACAATATAATTGCCGAATTCGGTAGACAAAACATTTAGCTCCCTTCAATCTGAGTCCAGAGAACTTATCATAATTCATTCTCAACAGAAAAGCTCGGGTACAATTAAGAACTAAGCAGAAGTACAGAAATTGGATATCAAGTGAAGTAAGAGTAAAAGAAAAGAAACTCATTTACATGCGGAATTGGGCCTGGGCAGCATCAATTCAGGTTTGGTGAGGGGTTAATGACTCCAGCAGGTTTTCATAAGTAAGAAAAAGAAAAGGGAAAAAATACAGCTATGAACAGGTAGACATCATAACATCCTCAATCCATGATGTTATCAAATTAAACAGAGGACGCAGATGTGAAATATGTTACAAAGGCACCACTTCACAATACAGTCTATGTGCAATTTCGAAATGGGCATTACAGGGACAGTTTGGAAATATAGAGATTAAAGCATGCAGTGTTTGTATCTTTCTCCAGCCTGATTACCCTGGCGTCTGTACAATTTCACACCCATTTGCAGCAATTCAGATATAAAATACAAATTTACTAGCAAGTAGCCTCTCCGGCTGAA